TTAGTGTGCATTTGGGGTGGGTAGAGTAGGGCTGGGCATACCCACAGGGGAATTTAGGAATCTTACCTATGGCAGGAGTGGCCTTTCCTCCAGGCCTGAATCACCTCCAGCCCTTCCTGCTTTTAGTTTCTCTTCACTTTCTCCAAAGCTGTTTTTGTATTTCATTCAGCATCTGATTTTCTCAATGTAATCATCCTGACAGTAATTAGAACTGGGATTCCCAGTTGTTATTTTTAGTAATAATAATCATTCTAATATTGTTTTTTCTAATATTGCGTTTTTAACTTTAGAACTTCTCAGTAACTATAGCCCCCTTTTCCTTTCTGCATAGTTAAGTTGTATATTTATTTCTAATATATATGTACATATGTATACTAGGTACACATTTATAACATACATATTAGTTAATACACACACCCACAACTAAGTAAATATGTTTGAATGGCTTAAACTTTGAGAAATACTGTGCGGAAGTTTTGTGGAGCTCTTGTATTGACTTGTCTCCTGTACAGAGTACGTGGCTGTTAAACTGTTCACCACTGTCACCCCATCCTGTGCACATGAACGAGTTTACCTGCCTCCTGTTGAGGAAGGCTGGGTTGTTTCCATAGTTTTGTCCCTATAAAGACTCCTCGTGAACATTTGTGCATTGCTCTTGGTTACATATTTTGAAGGAAATACCACTGTATTGAAAACGAATGTGGCCATTTAAAGTCACAGTGCCAAAGTGTTTCTTGATGTGGTGAGTCCACGTGCGGTCCCAGCACCATGCTGCAAGAGAGTGTGTGAATTCACAGCCTTCGCAGTGCTTAGCAATCTCAAAGACACTTATTTGCTAATTAACTGTGTCTAAACTAATATCACACTATTTTAAATTTCTTAATTCTTAATGACATTAAGCACCTCCTCATATTTCTGTTGATTTAAAAAAAAAAAGACAAATTCTTTCAAGTGTCTACTCATGTCTTCATCCCTTTGGCTTTTTCATTGAGTTGTAGGATTTTATGCTTTGAAAGGATCCTGTGAGCTCTATCGACTGTATCTGTGTGTAACCACTTCAGACATCTTTGACTTTGAGTCTGTCACCGCTCCCTACATCTGTTTACTTTGCAAATCTCTCTAAACTCTGCTCCTTTACCTCATCAATCTTCCCCAGCTCAGTCCCCAGCTTCTTTACCATTTTATAGACACATCCATTACTTAGGCCTTACTGTCTTCCCGTAGGTTAGGTGGAGGTAGGTTAGGTGGAGGTAGGTTAGGTGGAGGTAGGTTAGGTGGAGGTAGGTTAGGTGGAGGTAGGTTAGGTGGAGGTAGGTTAGGTGGAGGTGCCGTGTGACACAGAGATTGAGGGTGAGCACATATAAACTTGTATAGATACTTAATGCTGCCACACTTTATTATGTTAAAGAAAGGAGTGGTTTAGTGAATCGGGAACTTTGTTTTGTTTTTGCTTTTTTTTTAGACAGAGTTTCTCTGTGTAGCTCTGGCTGTCCTGGAACTCACTCTGTAGACCAGGCTGACCTTGATCTCAGAGATCACCTGCCCCTGTTTCTGGAGTGCTGGAATTAAAGGCATGTGCCACTATACTTGGCTATACGAGTAAATTCTTGAAACCTCTTGGTTCATAACCTAGCTTGTTTTTGCCTTGGTTTCTACTTGGCTGTGTGCATGTACATGGGTATTTTTGTGCTATATTATTTTTACGTAAAACAACAGTGAAGTTTTTTGTACCTTCTGAAGTGAGTAAAAATTTAGAGACTTCTTAGATAAACTTATAAATCAGAATATGGTATGTCAGAATTTTGAAGTACTTTGCCCATCAAATAAACAACATGTTCTTATTGTAAGTTAATAATAAAAGAAAAAAAAAGGAGTGTTTCAGAATTTTATGGAGTCTTACTAGAAAAAGTGGGTAGTAGAGAACTGGTCCCTGAAGCTGATGGCTGGTCTAAAAATATATTTATGAAGTCAGTGGTGCATGACGTCTGGATGCTTGGAAACAGAGGGCAAAGGTTTCTCTTGAGCAGTGTGTCCCTTACTTCCCAGATGTTTACCACACACTGTAGTATCTGCAGCATGACACCAGCCTTATCTAGGCCTGCTGGGAAAATCTATGTGGGTGCTGCCACTGAAAATGCATTAAAGAATCTGAAAACAACATGTATCAATATTCTGTTGCTGAACATTGCTATGGTAAGTTCAGTTTTACTTTATCTTTTGGCCAGTGAAACCATAGGCACACATTTAATCCCAGCACTCAGGAGGCAGAGGTAGGAGGATCTCAGTGAGTTAGAGGCCAGCCTGGTCTACAGAGCTAGTTCCAGGCCAGACAGGGATATGTAGTGAGACTCTGACTCAGTAAACCAACCAACCAACCAGTAAGACCATAGGTCTTCAGGGTAAGTTTCCCATTAAAGCAGGGCCAGAGAAACAAAAATATCACATGCAGTGGATACCACACAGACCTTTGTTTAAAAACTGCTGTATTTGCTTTTTTGCTTTGTTTTGTTTCACTATCCACATTTATAAAATAGAGACACTAACTCTTTTTTTTTTTTGCATGTGTGGTTGTCATGGTTAAAATCATGACTAATGGGCTGGGACTGTAGCTCAGTCCTAGAGTGCTTGCCTGGCACACACAGCCCTGGGTTTGAGCCCTGGCACTGTGAAACAAAAACAGAATCCAAGGTTTATGGATGGTTTATGTACACAATTGGGACTGCTGCAGCCACTCAGTACATGGTACCTACTGGTATATTAGAAATACAAGTGTGTGTGTGTGTGTGTGTGTGCGCACGCGCGCGTGTGTGTGAGTATGTGCGTGTGTGTGGTATGTGTGCATGTGTGTGCGTGTGTGTCTGTGTGTTACAGTTGCAGTCTACTAACTGCAGACCAGAAGTGTTTGGAGTAGACACATTTCTACCGATTATGTGTAGGCGCGTTTTCATATTATTTTCCCAGGGATGGGGTAGGGGGCTTCTCCTGTACCCAGTACACCATGGAAGGCAGAGATGGGGTATGAGTGTCTTTAACTCTTTGTTATTCTGTGGCCAAAAGCTGTTGGCTTCTGGTAATCTGACTCTCCTGATAGCAGCAGGGGATTAAGAAAAACAGGTACAGTTTCTCTCTGGCTCAAGGGTCCCTCCCTGCCAGGCAGGAGGTTTGGAGCTTAGAGCTTGTTAACTCTTCAGAGAAAAGAATGGATAAAGGAAAAAATCATGCACATACACTGACACACAGACAGACAGACAGACAGACAGGCATGCACGCGCGTGCACGCGCGCGCGCGCACACACACACACACACACACACAGAGGTCAGGCCTTACTACCTGTCTTAAGAACTCCATAACTGTTCATGCATACTTATGTACATATACATATACCTACACATGTATGTATGTACATACATATATACATATATACATTTGGTGGATGGGGCTGAGCCTCAAGTGCCATACTTTATTCCTTTTCTCAGCCTCTTTTATTTATTCCTAGACAAAAGTTATTTGTAAAATTACTTCATAGATGAAATGTTACACAAAAGGGGAGTTACAGAAAGATGTTGATAGTTCAAAGCAGTGTTTCATTCTACAAGCTCATTATAAGTTCAAAGCAACAGTTTCACATGGCCTTGCTTTATCATAGTGCACACCTGTGGCTTCACCCTTGGATCTGACCTAGCATGAATGTTTTTCCTTGATCACAAATCTGTCCCAAGCCTATTTCTCTTAGTGTAATTATGAAACTTCATTGTATTCTTTATTATGCAGCCTTTACTTATTATTCTATGAGGAGGGGGCACATTCTATTCTTGATTCTAACTTTATTACATCTTCTGGCAAAACAACTAAAACCATCTTCTTAAACTTTATTTTTAAAATTATTTGAGTCAAATCAGGAATTGTATAAAGTTATTAATTCATGTAAATCATTCATCTATAAGCATCAATTCATGAAAACTCATCTTCATGTTGATCTGCAGAAAAATCGCTCAATAGGATGGGCTGATGCCCAGGAATGATTAGGCTGTGTAATAGTGACAGGAAAGGCATATCAGCAGTGAGAAACAATCCTAGGATGAAGTCTCTGGGACCGTGCCTGTCTAGAGTGCACCCACCACAGTCACACAAAATGGTGGGCCATCTCCAGGAAATTCATTTGCTTGCCGTAGCCTTTTCGACATGGCTCTTGTCAGTTATTTATCCCTAAAACAGTGTAGTGTATCAGCTAATTACAAAGAGCTTATACTGGGTTAAATAATTCTGTTAACTAATCTTGAGAGACTTCAAAGTGGTCTGTGCAAATACTGTATAGTATGAGGAACTTGAACACCCATGGAAGCTGGTATCCCGGCATAATGCTAAAGCCAATCTCCCATAGATAGCAGGAGATGGTTGTCTGTATGTTACTGGACACTTTTCATATATAAACCTTTTGGCAAACTGATACAGAAAACTTAAACAATGGAAAATGAAGGGAACCGTGATTAGTTGAAGCTGATACAGAAAAGCGTCTGTGCACCCTCCTGACCCTCAGCAGGCTTCTGTAGTACCCCTGTGTCCT